TGTATCATCATGTATTATTAAAGGAGGTGTATCATCATGTATTATTAAAGGAGGTGATTCATTACCAGAACTAGTTTCATCTGTTCTGAACTAAAAAAGAAAACAGAATCGATTTTTATATTTGATATATAAATATAAATCTTACATAAGCTTTAGTACGCCGACGACGTGGTTGAATAGGTTTATGGGATTGTTTAAGACGACGATTTTCTTCTATTTTATGTTTTTTTCTTTGTTTACTATACAAAATAAAAATAAAAATAATTTAGTATTAGCTTCTTTTGTTTAAGAGTTTATCGAAGATGATTATTTTTTGCTCTCGAAATCTTTTATGATCTATTATTCCGTTGCGAAAAAAAGGGCGAGTAGGAAATTATTTTTTAATAACTTTTGATAGAAACAAGATAGAGAGCTTTTGCAGTTTTGACCTTTAGAAAGAGAAGATGAAAATTCATCGAATCGTATACGAGATGTACTTTCAATCGATCTTTTTCGAGAAGCAACGTATATTTTGAGATGATTATAGTGATTTTCAATTATCAGGTATGTATTCGAATCTTTAATGGCAGATCTACAAAACTATGCAAGTTTCAAGTTTTTAGATTTATTTGTTCAGGAGTCATAAGTATTCTAGAGAGAACTCTCGACCAATTTTTCAAGGAATTACTGCGAAAAAAAATTACTTTTCTTATGTTAGAAGAAACTATTTTTTCAGACCTTTTTTTTTTTGTTAGAAAATCTATTAAAAAAACTTCAGAAAATATCTTATAACAACCTATAATATACGATTCGATACGACTTCATCTTCTCTTTCTAAAGTTGAAAACTGCAGGGTTCTATCGTGTTTCTATCAAAAATTACTCAAAAAATATCTATTCGCCTTTTTTTTTTGAAATGGACATCATTAGCATAAAATAGAAACAGTATAGTTCATCAAATTCATATTTTTATGTACTTTTACATTTTAAATACGCTTTTAATCCTTTGTAATAGTGCTGGTTAACATGTCAGAAGTTGATGATTTTGATATAAAGATTCGTATTAATATTAATCAAGACAAGTATGCCAACGTCTCACGCCTAGCTAATGATAATATCACAGTAATTTAACAGAAAATAAATGATGCGCTTGAAGTTTACGTATATTGTCGATGATATTAATTTACTCTTTCATATAACCAATTTTTTTTTACTAGATAGACAGCAGTATAACGAAATTAGCTGCAATATTTCATTTAATTACTTCAGTTTCAACAATGATAAAATATCTGTATCCATAGCCCTATTTCACATTTCTATAAGCTTTTACAAGGGTTTATTACCAGTGTTTTATCCAGGATTTTTTCTCCGGAGGGGCGATTTGGAATTTCGGGGGGGCGAAAAATTAGTTTCGGGGGGGGGGGGGGGGTGTTTATAGTATGATGATCGCAGTTTTGGGGGGGGGCAAACTCGATTTTCGGGGGGCGCGGCCTCCCCGGGCACCCCTCTGGATAAAACACTGTTTATTACTATTATTCTCATATTCAATTTACAAGTCTTTTTACATATGTAAAATCCTTGTCTGATTACTTAACGGATAATATAATGATATGTATATATTTACTCGTCATAAAAGAAAATCTTTTTCTCGACGATGGAATTCGAATTATGACTTAAATCATGCTAACAATAAACAATAAATAATCAAGTTGAGTTTTAAAAAAAAGTTTTTTCTTCCTTGCTTATGTGAAGCAATAAGAAATTTAATAGAAAATAATTCGTATATAATAAAAATTGATTAACTGAATGAATAATTACACTGCTCAAGAAATGTTTTTTTTCCCCAGCTTTCTTAATAATTGTTGTATATAAGTGTTTAAAACTAATGATTATACTACACGTTCGTTTGACTAGTATTCTAACCAATGTCCTCGCTAGAATTAAAGATAGGTGATTGTAAGCTCAATAACTCGAGAAGAACAACAGATAGGAACCTGTGGTTTTCAGCAATCGAAAGAGCAGAACTTTGGACGGTCATTCGAATTTTTTTCAAATCAAAACTTCATTGAAATGAAACACCGTTTTCATGCATTTTTTTTAAAAATGTTTTGCTAAAACGATGAGTTTCAAAATAATTTCACCTTATATAGTATCACACAAAAGCACATCCAATATTCTCCTTTTTCAATAGCTGAAAATCGCACGTCGCTAGCTATTATTATTGTCGAATTATTGAGCTTATACTCAGTTCTCTTTAATCTGAAGTAAACATTAGTGACTCGTTGTATTCATATCTTATAACAATTTGAAGTGAACTAAACTTTTCAAGTTATTTATTCTCTCTGACGTCAAATTCGATAATATACAATAATCAATTTTTCTATATATTTATTTTTTTATTTTTCAAAACTTCTATTATCATCAACAAAAGCACTCAATAAATAGATCTGTTTATTTATTTAAAAAAAAAATCATTATGTTTTGTTGTTTTGTCTAAAGTATTTTTTTTTCTGACAATCTAATAATATAGACAAATAATCAAATTAACATACTCTTCTTCTGATAGAATCCATTCTTTACGCATACCTAAAAGAAAAATAAATAAATAAATCTAATGAGAATATAATAGAAATCATCTTACTCTTTTGGAAACATTTGTCTATTCGACATTTTTTACATCGTTTTCTTGTTGAAATAGTTACTTCACAAGGACCATTACCACGACATCTGAATTTATCCTATGATGAGATTTTCAAAATTTGACATATATATATATATATATTTATTTATTTATTATTAAATCTAAATAATAACTGATAATCTTTTTGTTTTTCGAACAAAATATTATATTGTAATGCATGTTATTCTAATCTCTGAATTCAATGATTTCAAAAGATAAATCTCAAAAACAAAAAAATAATATGATCAATGATCATTTGCTAGACACTAAAGATTAAATGTCTATACTGAAGTAAAAGAATACTAGTCTATGATAGAGCGATGTATCCATTGAAGTATGCAATGGTAAACTACAGATGTTTTTTTGTTTTGGTACGATTCAGTTCTTCTAGCATAAATACGTTTGATTAATGCAAGAAAACAAACTCGGTTTTACCATAGGTTTCTCACTCATTTTGTTGTATCACTGACTATTGAAAGTACATTCCTAAGTATTTCACAAACTTTAGAATCTCATGTTATTAAAAGAAAAAGCTTTCTCTCTATTCTGTTCTTGTTTGTAGCTAGAACATAATAATATGTAATTACTAGATGAAGTTATTAGTAATATTATGTAGTTTCTATTGAATAAGGAAAAACAATTACACAAAGTTGATAAATAAAGTCTGATGAAAACGATAATTAGCAGTGGCAGCAAGATTTTTACCCAGGAGAGGAAGAAGTCTAAACTCACATAAAACCTCTCTTGTGGGATCACCGTTAGCAACAACTTTAAAAATTTTCCTAGGGACTCAGATAGTTTTAGAAGAGCTCAACTTTTCTGTGATGGTACTAGCTGTCACCTAGGTTTTTTCATTTTTATCGTTACTAATCGTTTTCTCGTTAGTTACAATAATTCATTCATTTTTCTCTCGTTAATTATCATCTTCTCTTCATCATTTAATGAAATACATTGGTAAATGTTCATTCACCCTGCAGATGATTTTATCACATATCATCATAGTGATACCTGGAGTCACATCTCAGCCCCACCTCTTCTTTGTCACCATCACTAAGAATAATTTAGAAATAGATGTGCAAAATTTATTTCTCATTAATAAGAGAAGCATTGTATCATTATTTTAAGAAGTACTATTCATTTTCAATTAAAAAACGATTGAATATCTTGGAACAACTTTTAATAACAATAAAAAGAGATCTGCAGATGAAAACTAGAAGATGTCAATAATTTACAGATGAGAAAAAGCTTGTTAGCACACTCTCTTTGGGATAATCACTTCGACTTAAAAATTTATACTTATTTATTTTTTTTCAAAAATAAACATGAGTTCGACAAAATAGTGATTCACTTAACTTTTGAAATTTTCATGTATGTTTTCGAATACTAATCAATACTATAGAGAAATTATAATTCCTTATCGAAATTTATCCGAAAAATATTCTACTTTGAAATAAATAGTCATTTTTACAAAGTATATTTCCTACATTTTTAAAAGAACTTTTATTATTTGTATAGTACTGGATAAATTTTTAAATAAATTCTATTTATACAAAAATACCCATTTCATTATTAAGAAAAACTAAGAACATAATTCAATTATGTTAATGAGAGAGTAACTTTCAGAACTCATTACTTTGAAATAAAGTAACTATAAAATTGAACCTTTTTATGATTTTGACATATCTCATTATCTTAAATATATGATATTTGAATAATTATTTGCAAAGCAATTAATATCTTACACAAAAAATTATCTAAATAAGCGATCTATGACAAATATTTGAAGTACCTGAAGGTTATCTTGAACTTGTTATACTCACTAAGACTATCAGTAATTCTTTATATGATAACATACGAGAATTTGTTTTTCCTGATAAATTAAATTATAATAAAAAATTTAATAAGGTCTCATGAAAATTTCATAATTTAATTAAAAAGTGAAAATCTTTTTTTTTTCTACAAAAGAAATTTACCTGTGGTCGTAATGCATTTCGACGGAAAAAAGCTTTACAAGATTCACATGAAACAACATCAAAATTATATCCTAAATAATTAATAAATTCATTTAAAAAAAAAATATTCGAATTTTTTTCTACCATAAGCATCATCGCCACAAATAGCACATTTTAAGGAAGGTTTTAAACGTTTAGTAGTTGATTTCTTTAGTTTTGATAAACTGCGACTGAATGAAGAATCTGAAGAATTTTCATCGTCATCAACCAAATGCAACAGATAATTTTCTTCTTCTTCTGCCATTTTAAATCATTTATAATCAATTAAATTATCTTAAATAATAGTTGATCTAAAAATCAAATTGATATAAATTATGCATAAAGAAAAACGAAATTCGTCATTTGATTTTATTATTAAAAAAATGTTTTAAAACAATTTTATTTTTTTAAATAAAATGACGTAATACACGTTGATCTTTCGTATTACGTTTTCTTCACCCCGAATACAGAAGACAAAAAAAGAACCTTATTTATATATATACGCTTCAATTCAAGAAGGTTATAGAGTGGTCGGAGAAAGGAAAGAAAAAAAAAAGAAAAGAAACGTGTCGAATGGAGAGAACTACTGCTTTCTTCGATGTGCAATGGGCATCTGCGCTGAATTAACGATGTCGTCTGTGAAGAATATTCTTTCATCTTTCCTATATATTTGACGTCTTTTATTTGTCGAAGTCAATGAGGTCTGTCGCATCTATTCTCATTCTATATAGGTATTAAACAGATTTTATGTTTCACTCGTATTTTTCTCGCTAAATTTTTAAACCAATAGATAAGATTGCATAGAAAATAACGATGAAAAGGAAGAAAGAGGAAAAATATTTGACAGGCATATAAGAAGGTAAAAACAACACTTTTTCGTCCTGTATTACCAGATTCTTGTAAGAGACTGCATATGTTTTATTTTATTTTGTTAAATCAGCCGTCTCTATTCTTTTTTATGCATGCAAAATACAAGACCGCCTATGTCTCAAATTCATATTGATTCATTGACTCACACAACCAAAAAAAAGCTTCATCTTTCTCTTACTGATTATTTCTTTAATTCGTTGTTATTCGACAAAAAAAAATTATACACTAAAGATTAAAAATTATAGATTATAATTATTTATATAAATAAACAAAAAAACATTCTTTAGAGTATGTTGTATTGAATGAAATTTATCATAATTATCAAAAGTAGCAAAACAAAAAAAAGAACTATGTAACCTTTTGTTTATCTTGGAAAAAATGATCTTCTTATGATGAAATCCTATATATGTCGTTAAATTTATTATTATTATTTTGTTTTTTGCTAGTCTGCTGATCATCGCAAAGAAAATAATAGTAATGCATCATACTAAAAAAACTTCGTACATTGAGATGACGAAGAATAATAATAAATAAAATATGAGATCATGTCTGAAGTTAAATGCATATAGTTGAGAATAGTAATCGATTGTTAATAATCTGTTAAAAGAAAAGATAATTGTATATAAATAGAAAAAAAAATTGTTTACTAAAAATATAGGAAATATTTTTTAAAAGATAAAACAAAGCAGAAGAAATCGGAAGTTAACATATAAGTTTCTAATGACACTTACCATAGCCTTGTTTCTATTGCGTGCTGTTTGCTGAACGAAGCTTATTCTTTTATTGCTTTATAAAAGTTCTATTTCTTGTTTTTATAAGTCAGAGTAAAATTTGAATTTTTTCTTAGTTGAATAGAGTAAATAAAAAATTGCTTCCGGCAGACGCGAAATGTAGCATTATGATCTAAAACAATATAAATAACAAATTCTATAAAAAATTAAAGTTCGTTAAAAATTAGATTTATAAGTCTAATTAACAACTCATAGAATGATTATGAACTATAGATTTAAAGTGAGTAGCAAAAGTTTAAGACACTTTCTATTTCTATGTTTTTCTGTAAAAAGAAAGGAAATGCGAACTATCTTTTGAAAGATAGGTGTAGCTAGAGCTCAGATCGACAGAAACTAATCATTCTTGATTTAGTAGCGATTTCAAAATATAATTTGTTCCATTTTGCTTCTACTGACTTTTGTTAGAAACATTGTAGAAATCTGCAGTTTCCACCATTTAGTACAGGAGACTCAGAGGCCATCGAAGTGTATCAAAATTTGATTGGTCAGCAATTGATCAATCAGATGAGTTCTTGATGAAGATTTTCGAAAACAATATTCTGAAATAATTTTTCCTTTAATTTTTAATACCACTACTCGATAGAGGAAATTCATCTCTTTCGATTTACACAAGGTCAACATGCCTAGCTTGTTCTATTCGAGAGTTATAAGACTATTCTTGCGACACTCAATTTCAGCCAATGATTTGTGTTTATCCATAAAAGCAACTAGGTAGGGAGTAATTCACCATACCGAGTCGGCTGATGATATTTTCTTCTTCGGTTCGAAATGATCGGACGCTGTTATCTCAATATAACAAAAACACTTGGAAAGAAACACGAATGGAAGGAAAAAATGTTTGAAGAATAACGGAAGAAAACGTTTTGAAAATAACTAAACACAAAAAAGAGAAGATACATGTATGTATGTCGTATATGCTTTATATACGCTGCATAGTAGAAACGGAGGTGGAAACGAAGAAATATTCAACGTAAATGAATCATTCTATAAGAGAAAGAAATGAGTATGTTTTGTTACAATATAATGTCATTCTGTGGAGTATATCTGTTCTGTTTGTTCTATAATTGCGTATTGACAACACGTGTAGATGGGGGGTGTAAGTGAAAGTATTCTCTTCATTCACAGCCATCTGTGTACCCTTAATAAGTTAACTATATTAGCACTTTTAATTCATGTGATTCAAACTTTTCATATGGACATTAGGAACCATTGTGATCTCAAGGCTTGACGAATTTCATTTTCAGTCCTTCAACTTTGCGTGTGGGTAAGAAAGAGTTAAACAATTATTTTATTAATGCGGATCATTATTGTTAGACAGTGAAATTTGTCGACAACGAACTAGTTGTAATTCAGAGAGAAGTTTTACCTTAACAGGTATGTACAATATGTGTATTGTTGCAAGCAATGGACATACATATAAGAGTTCGGGAACGGAACGAATTTACTAGAATATAGTAGAGAGTCAAGAACTTATTAGAAAGTACGAAAAAGAACATATATGATTCATACAGAAAAGAAAAACGAATATACTTTAACATACTAGAAAGAAGAACATTTATGCGTTTTGTACACGATAACAGAACAAAAGATGAAGTAGATGAAATACATATATATTATAATGTCATAATACAACAATGAAAAGTAAAGAGATGACGCTATTTAATGAGTTTTTATCATCAGTATAGTTTCATACAAAATCTATCAAAATACTAAAAACACGATGATATCTATAATTATGGTTTAAACTTCTAAAGAGAGAAAATCAATATGGTAATTAAGAATTCATAGAAAATGATTAAATTAAATTAAATTAGTATCTGTTTAGTAAATAATTTCAATGTTAATTATAAAACAAAATTACTGAAGTAATTTCTAATAAAGACTTAGTACGATTATCTAAGATAAGATGAAATTTTTCTTTTATAGTGGTATTGTGTATACATTTTGAATGTGAATCGTTCTGTCATTCACATCCATCCAAAACGAATGGTTAAAAACACACGATTCAATAGTTTTATATCAAGCATAAACAATCAAAGAGTGATATACATTATCAAGGTTTTTTACAATTGTTAATACTATTATCAATAAATAGTGCAAGTTTCACAATCAGACTCGTATAAATCTAATTGTATTTTCAACAGAATCAATGATTATACTTTAAAAAATGAATTAATACATATTATCTTTCCGAATTCTTGAGATTAGTATTACAAATAGCATTCAAAACAAAGGATTAACCATCTTCATCAGCACAGGATATACCTATGAGTGAAGAAAAGAAAAACGTGGACTACTACGAAAAGCAACAAAAGTTTTATTACTACAATAATACTGTATAATTAAATTTTTTACTTAGATATTTACATCTCTTTACTTAATAAAAATTGTATATTTACCTATTGATTTACAATATTTTGCCTAGATAATCAAACCTTTTCATTTAGAATTTACAAAAAAAAACTTAGCAAAAATGTTTTATTTTTAATAAATTACTTAGCATTTCAATAGAAGCTCTTTTAGAACAAGATCACTTTCGCGCAAAATACCAAAAAAAACCGACTAGTTTTTCTAGATTTTGATTATCAAAAATTGATTTTTTATTGGGAATAAGCATGACCTTCAGAATCATCATGCAAAAATACATCCCAAAACATCGCTGATCAAAATTTTCATTCTACTCTCCCTCAGCTTTTTATTCGTAAAATTTTAGGCTATAGTCTCCTACAGGTAAAATTTGATTGGAAGTCTATTTAGATGAAGTCTAGAATTTTCGATGTATTTTTGCACATTAATTCCAAAAATTATGCTTGTTTTCAATAAAAATCAATTTTTAATATCCATAGAAAAAGTATCATTGTCTTGACATTTTTTTCTATTTATTCATCTAACAATCAACTAGATCAAGAATAGATAGTGTCTGTAGACCTTTATTCTAGCCACATCTGTCACTCAAAAATTAGTTCTTATCTCGGTTCTTTTCATAGAAAAAGGCAGAAAGAAAAAAGTATTTTGAATTTTTGCTGCGCACTTTGCAACATTTTTCGAATAAAGTTTCGTATTTGAATAGATAGTCAACTACAAATTATTGATATGCATTACAGTTGAAAATCTACCGTTGATGCTATCGCTATTGGCATCTATGCTATGAGCACATGAGATATTCAGAACATTTTTTTCTCTATTAGACTTTGTAAGATTTTTCTTACTGATTATTTTTGTAAAAACAATTTGTTAAATTTGATTCAACAATGATGATGCTAGGATTTAAATACTAAGAAAACTATTTGTATGATTACCTTTATTGAACAACTTTTCATATTGTCAAACTTCGAAAATGATAATTGAATTATTTTCTTTTTTTTTTTTCTTTAACTAATCTATGACTTTAATATTATAGATTCACAATACTATGACATTATCCTTATGTATGTAATGTTGTGCATGTTAAATATTTTTCTCTGTTCTTATCTAATTCACTTGTTAATATAAATTGTAATTCATTGATAAACTTTAGTTAGCAAGACAAAGATAAATATTTTCACTATATATACTTTTATCTTTTCATTCAGTAGATTTTATTATATATAGATGAAAAAAAAAA